CTAAGTAGGTGCTTTAGACCACTGAGCCATCTCACCAGCCCCAATAGAAAGAGTCGGGACGGGGGCGCGAACCGGTGACCTCGCGCTCTAGAGCCCGACACGGAAACTGCTGCACTAGGTCGCCGCCTAGATATCTTAACATCTCCAAAAAATCTGTAATCCATCCTGGAATTTACGGGAGAGAGGCAGCTGTTTATTTGCCCATAATTATGTAAAGCATATTTAAAAAGTCTTCCTCTGTTAGTGTCTCTTTAATGACTTTTATCACAATTTCCTGTTGTCCTCCGGAGCAGTTAGCTCAGTGAAGGCTCTGGGGACTGTTTTCTTTAGTTATCTTAGGCCTGGCCTGTTCCTGGCGCATGGTACACACCTGAAAAGTATTATTGACTGCAACGTGATGTATGGGGTGATAGTGTCATTCTGTGGCCTGGCTGCATATTGAAAAACATACTCTTTCTCAGCAGTATGAGTGATTTTCCTGGTAGAGTTGTCATTAGAGTTTTATTATTCAAAGCTCCTGTTACATTCTCTGCCATGGCAGATCAAGTTTTTCCTGAATAGTTCTGTCTGCTCCTCAGTTTAACCAGCAAGTCCTGCCCCTGCCTTTGCTGAATTCTTCGGCAGGCTTGGGCTAGATACTTGTGCCTGTGACTGTGGTGAGCCTTCATTTGTGGCTCCGTTGTCACCACTGTCTCGCAGCATATGAGTATCCATTCGAGCTCCGCAGAAGGTAGCAAAGCAAGTAAAGGGCAGGACAAGCCTCGTGCTGTGCCATCTACTGCAGCCAGGCTACTGGGGATAAGGGCGGTGCCAAACCCATGAGTGGGCTGAAACAGAGATCACTCACCCTTAACCGTAATGCCCTTAGTCCCAGCATTGTGCCATGCATCAGCCACACTCTAGATTCAGCCACCTCTGAAGAAAGCCCTGCATATGACTACCTGAGGCTTTGCAGGGACATCTAAACACAAGCCATAACAGTTGGGGAATGTCCTGGCCAGGGTTAAGAAGAGGTTGTCAGAATAAGGTAGGCAGGTCACAGGTTCCGGGTCAGCCTGGCCAATTTAACAATACCTTGCCTCAAAATATAATAACAGAGAGGGCTGGGGATATAGCTCAGGACTCCTTGGGTTAAATCCCCAGTGCTGAAAGACAAAGGGGTAAGAGAAAGAAAGAAAAGAGAGGGTGGGGGCAGGGTAAGGGAGGAAGGAAAGGAGATTTTTAGTGCTATGTAAAAATAATAGTAACCTTGAGAAAGTGAATGAGGTATATGATATGTATCATACCTGTATGAGTCTGTGGTACACAAAGGAGGAGCAGAGAAGGCAGGTGCAAAGCCAAGAAAGCATAGCATCTCAGAATCTAGGGAGGGGAAGGAAGGGATGAACGGCCCTGTTCTTGGGGGACAAGGAAATGGGGCATGGATCAGGGTGGGGTGGCACATGTGTAATCCCAGCACTTGGGTGGTTAAGGCAGGAGGAGCCCACCCTGGGCTATGCAGTGCGTTCCAGGTCAGCTTGGGCTGCAAACAGAAGGAAGAACAGAGGAGGGAGGGTGGGAGGAGGCAGATGAGAAATGGTGAGGGTTATTGATGAAGGCAGTGAGGGAATCTGTTACTTGGGAATCCCACAAAAAGGAATATTAGGATACCAGATAACTGGACAGGCAGTGAGGATAAAAGAGGGAGAAGTTTTTTTTTATTTTTTATTTTTATAAATAAGATAACATTGACACTTCCACCTCAATGGTCTGCTACAGCGTTGCTAATAGAACTCCTAATAAAGCTCCTGGAGGTAGTTGGCCAGGTATTTTCTTTTTTCTTTTTTTTTTTTAAATTTTATTTATTTATTTATTTATGTGTGTGTATGTGTAGCCAGCTCAGCCCACCAGGGGGCGGGGCTGGCTGGCATGTGGTGCTGGGGGATTGAACCGCGGTCCCTGTGCTTTGCTAAGCT